TGGATGGATGGATGGATGGATGGATGGATGGATGGAAGGAAGGAAGGACGGAAGGACGGAAGGAAGGAAGGATGGATAGAAGGAAGGAAGGAAGGAAGGAAGGAAGGTTAGTGTGTTTCAGTCTAAACATTATATGTGTAGACTAAACATAAAATGTGATAATTACTAATACCTTGTTCGTTAAACTAATCAAACCATCTGAACATGCCGGGAGCTACATGATAAACTGAACGAGGTGATAAAAAGCCTCCATTCACAGAGTTCTGGAACCTCTAGGGATGATTATGCTTAATGAAAAAAAGCGAAATGAAAAACCCTGTCCTCATCCTGATTCTAAAACATCTACACTCTCTGTATTCATTCTAAATATCCCAGGTCTATTACCACACTTTGGTCCACATGCAGTTCGGCATGTCTACCAAAATTATTTTATATCTCATCGTTCCTTTTGAGCTTGAATAAAACAACCATCTTCCTTCTTTAACTTGGTTTCCTGCATGCTACATTGATAATCCCTGATTGATCAACAGGAAGTACTGTCAGATAGGTTATCATCTAGGAGAGTCATGCATATTTAGCTCCATCCATGTTACATCTTCAGTTCTGACTGAGTTCCCCTTCTCTGCTCAAGAGCACTATCCCCACAGCATGATGCTCCCACCACCCTGTGTCACAGTGGGGTGATTTCTTTCCCCTGGAATAAAATGATGTCTTACTTTTCTCTATATTCAAAAAGTTAGATTTTGTCTTCTTATATCTTTTTTTCCCACATAAAATATTGATAAAATATTTCAAATTTTGAGCTCTGAACGCGAGAAAAACAAATTGGTTTAAAGGGTAAGCAATGGAGTAGTTGCTGCAAATCAAAATATATCTAAGGTCTAGATCCAAAGCATAAAACTAGGGTAAATATGATGCTTCTAATCACTAGCTGACCTCTGCAAACTTTCTAAGAGTTGCCATTACTAATATGAGCACCAGGCCTCACCATAATCGATATTATTACCTACCTGCTGAGGTAGGACAGCAGGAAAGGGTGCATAAAACTGAACATGTCACCCAGGTTAGATCAGGTCTTATATCAACTAATAAATAACAAATCTGGACATTCGCTCACCTTTTCCTCAGCTCAGAATCCACAACCACTTGTCTCTTCTTCTGAGGCGGTGGCGACTCGCGAGTATGCCGCAAAGCGGACACCTTCTCCCTCGTGGTCACCTTGGTAACGGTCGCCGAGACAGAGTGGGTCACCTCGGACTGCTTGGTTGTGCTTACAGCCGAGGAAACCTGAAAAGCCAAACTATTGTTTTAGATGAAACCAACGCTATAGATAGGAATGTTCTGCATCAGGTAGCTTTGAACCAGAAGGTGAGAGGGGATAAAAAAAGGCCAGATAAAGATGTGAGCGAGTTCTAATTCAGAACATTCACAGTATTTCCTGTTTTTATGGGCATGTTTATTGCAGCCAGGAGCAGCCTAATGAGCTTTTAAAATCGAGTACAATTACTTGAATATCCCCGCTGCCATGGAAACGAAGGTGTTCAGCACCTGGCGTCAACCTGAAGAGGTCAATATAGTAATTGTCTGACTGATTATAACGGACAAGTGATTAAAAGAGTAAAGGATGAAGTGAAGGAAGGATGGAAGGTGCAGGAACAAAGGATGGATTTGTTTATGATCCGGCTGTGTGTATGCGTGTGTGTGGGGGGAACAAAGAGGTGGTTGGTACTTGTTAATCTTTCCTATCTAGGACCTGTTCTGGTAAAAGCACTCGCCTTCTGATGATCGATGGACCTCATGGGGACCAAAGCCCAGCGCTAATGCATCAGGACATCATTTGTAAGCTTAGCCGTTGGGGCTTAAAGGTTTCAGGTCTGTTCTCCTAATATGATCATGGTTGTGTCATTTTACCACTTAATACGTTCAAATTAAAGATTATGAAGACTTAAACCCTCTACATACGCTCACTGCTCATCAGCAAAACGCAAGCAGGGACATATTTTGAAGTTGATTATAACAAAGGTTGTAGAAGTTTCAAATATAACTAATGTTACCCTGTCTCACCACTGTTATGCTATTTTTGAAAGCAAAATTTACCAATCTATAAGAGAGCCTGGAAAACTGGGTCAGCTTTTCTGAAGCAGAGTCCGTTTATTTCATTAGGTTACTATATCATAGACCATAAAAATCACATTTGGCATTCCCCAAGGGTATATAGTAGGGCCCCTATTCAATATCTACATGCTAGTTCAGATTAAACATAATAAACATCATAAGTTACCATCACTATGCAGATAACACACAGCTATATGGTACAATGTCACCAGGTAACTTTGATTCCATTCCAGCACTGAGTAAATGCAGAGAACAAATAGACACATGGGTGTGGCTAAAGGTTCTTCAGCTGAATCATAAGCATAAATTCTTGGACCAAAATAAGAGTGTTTAAATGTTAGACCACGGCTTCTGTTAATCTATATAGAAACCCTCAATCTGGCTGTAAATCTTGGTATAGTCATTGACTCAGAACTGAACCTTCAGAGGCTCTTTAAGACAGCAACAAAGTCTGCCTCCATCACCTAAAGAACAACTCTACAAATAAGACTAACTGTTGATCTAAGCTGTTCTGGGTCCCAGGACCCAGAAAATCTATCCCATGCATTTATTTTTACTTGCACTGACTGTTGCACCAGTGTCTCTACAGGTCTGCCTACAAAGTGGATCAG